TGCTGCTGCGTGTCGTCTGGACTACGCTGCCAGTCTTGTTGCTGAGTCTGCTGAGTCTGCGTCTGCTGCGTCTGCGTCTGCCTGTCCTCCGTCCGTCGGGGGTGACTGTGCTCTTGGCACGGACGTCCTTGAGGACAGGCAGGAGGAGTTCCAGTGCTTTGCCGCCGCTTTGCCCCATCTCGTGTCCATGCTTGTTGCCCCTGAGGGAGACCCGGATGCTCTAGACATCCCGACCCCACGCTCTTACGCAGAGGCGATGGCCGGTCCCTACTCCTCTCAGTGGCAGTCAGCCATGGACGCAGAGATGGCTTCCTGGAAGTCCACAGGCACCTACGTTGACGCTGTCCCCCCTCCTGGGGCGAACATCGTCAGTGGCATGTGGATCTTCAGGGTGAAGCGGCCGCCGGGTTCTCCGCCTGTCTTCAAGGCGCGCTACGTGGCTCGTGGCTTCAGTCAGCGACAGGGAGTTGACTTCTTTCAGACCTTCTCCCCGACCCCGAAGATGACCACTCTTCGGGTTCTACTGCACGTCGCTGCTCAGCGTGACTACGAGCTACACTCTCTTGACTTCAGCACTGCTTTCCTGCAGGGCCGCCTGCACGAGGAGATCTCGCTGCGCCGCCCTCCTGGCTTCACTGGGTCGTTCCCTCCTGGTACCCAGTGGAGCCTCCGGCGGCCAGTCTACGGTCTCCGCCAGGCGCCGCGTGAGTGGCACGACACACCGAGGACTACACTTGCGGCTCTTGGGTTTGCTCCTTCTACTGCTGACCCGTCGCTGTTTCTGCGCACCAACACCTCGCTGCCGCCGTTCTACATCCTCGTGTACGTCGACGACTTGGTCTTTGCCACTGCGGACACTGCCGCACTCGCCCACGTGAAGTCCGAGCTGCAGAAGAGACACACGTGCACAGACCTGGGTGAGCTGACAAGCTATCTTGGCTTGCGGATCACCCGGGACAGAGCACGCCGCACCATTACCCTGACTCAGTCACACATGGTGCAGCAGGTCCTTCAGCGCTTCGGCTTCACGTACTCCTCGCCTCAGTCCACTCCTCTGCTTACGGGACACTCGCTCTCAGCTCTGCCTTCGGATGAGTCCGTAGAGTCGAGTGGTCCGTATCCAGAGCTTGTGGGCTGCCTCATGTACCTGATGACTTGCACTCGACCTGACCTCGCATACCCTCTCAGCATCTTAGCACGCTATGTTGCTCCCGGCCGTCACCGGAAGGAGCACATGGATGCAGCTAAGAGGGTGTTGCGCTACTTGTGCAGTACGTCGGGCATGGGGCTAGTGCTTGGAGGGCGTGAGTGGCCTGTGCTCACCGGGCACTCAGACGCTTCTTGGGCTGACGACCAGGCTACTAAGAGGTCGTCTCAGGGTTACACCTTCAGTCTTGGCTCTGGCTCTGTCTCTTGGCGCTCCACTCGCTCTTCTTCGGTTCTCAGCTCCAGCTGTGAGGCTGAGATCTACGCCACGGCCATGGCTGCCCAGGAGCTTCGCTGGCTCACCTACCTGCTGACTGACCTTGGAGAGCGGCCTCGTTCTCCTCCACTGCTGTACGTCGACAACAAGGCAACCATTGCCTTGTGTGAGGAGCACAGACTGGAGCACAGGACGAAGCACATTGCTCTGCGCTACTTCCTTGCTCGAGAGCTGCAGCAGCGTGGTCAGCTTCGCCTGCGTTTCATGGCCACTGAGGCCAACACTGCTGATGTGTTCACCAAGGCACTTCCGCCTCGTGACCATCAGCGCTTTTGCACTCTGCTAGGCCTTGTGCCCACTGGGCCTCACTTGCTTACCTCTTGACCTTGCTTGTACTGCTGCATATATATATCCTTGCTCTTGCTTGTTTAGCACTGTTATATATATATGCTCTGCTGCATGTGAACTGGCCTTGTGGCCTTGATCTTGTGCTCGGAATTTGTGTGGTATCCTTGAGATCCACCTTGAGCTTGCTTTGCTTTGCTTTGCTTTGCTTGACTGGTCTTGTGACCCCTTGCTCTCCCCCACTTTGCCTATGGGGGTGTGTCAGATGATTATATTACTGATGCATATATTTAAGCTGTAGTGGGGTAGCCCATAGGGGGTACAACCCAATTAGGGTTAGTACTTGTACTTGTTTCATTTCATAGTGCAATCATTCCTCGCCTCTATCTCAACACTGTCCCCTCCTTCGCTTGTGGCCGTCCCCTCTCATCCGCTATAGCTGCCCCCTTTCTTGATCCTGTCACGGTGTCTGAGTTCCTACTGCGGCTCAAAGTAGAGGGGCAGGCGATTGACTTTGGCGCGTGGCTGTTCAACGTCAAGCTCACCTGCGAAGCCAGTGCCAGGACGATGTCTCCGTTCGCCGATGTGTCGGGTGACCTATCTGCCCCTTAGCGTCCTGTTGCCCTTCCTGCTGAGCTCACGTTGGTGGAGCGGGAGGCTCACCGCGTGGCCCAGCTTGTGTACCCGATCTGGGAGTCACGTGATGCGGCTGCGCGCCTTGTTCTTAGTTGCCTCCTACCGTCGACCGAGCGAGTGCACTTTTACCATGTTGAGACGCCGAAGGGGTAACTGATTCTCATTGTTTCTCGCTACTCCAACTTCTGCTCTGCTACCCTGGGGATCCTCCTCTTGCCTTTCCTCCTCCCTGATCTCCCTGCTTTCCCCACTGTCCATGACCCCACTCCTCAGATGCGCTCGCTTACTGTAACACTAAGTTCCCGCTGCTTGCACTGCTGACCACCTTGCTAAGCACGCCCCCCCATATATCCCATCCCGCACTTCCTAGCGACCCACTTCCCTGATCGCCTCATACATGTCCACGATCCCTCCTCGTTATGCACCCCATGAGCCTCACAATAGATCTCTTTAAGACTCGTCTCACTGAGATCGAGACCCGCCTTCTCACCATCGACCATTGGTGCGGTAGTCCCCCCATCTTTGTGAGGTAAGCTCTTCCCTAGTTACCTACCCCAGCTGCCTCTACTACTGTTGCTGAGCCTAATGCTACAGCGGGGGTCGTAGCTGCCTCTGCCCCCTCTGGTGGGTGGGGATGGCGCAGGGGTGGTCGTAGTCATGGGTAGTGTTGGTATGCCAAGGGGGTGCACATACGTTTGAGGGTACTAGCTCTTCTTCTGGTGGGCCAGGTGGTGCTAGTGCTGACGCGGGTCGACTCTGCAGCAGCGACAGAGCAGTAGTAGCAGCAGACGCAACAGTAGCAACAGCTTTAGTAGTGGGTCTCTAGCTGCACTAGGGACCTGCTGGCCCAGAAAGTGTTGAACGCATCCGACGTCGAGGACGTCGGCAGATGTAGGTGAGCTAAAGGGTGCTTCAAAATACGCTTCAAAATACGCCTTAAACATCTGCTGGCACCAGCATACACCACTTGAACAAAGACGTACATATTTCGACAGGCAGGCAAAGATTGAGTGCATCACAATAATGATGACGAGATGATACTCGACAAATAACATGTTGCGAGGCTTGCCGTGCGAAAATCGCGAGCGGATAGTTTCACTATATATGAGTTCGCTAAATGATTTGACGCGTAGGAAGCGCAGACAAAATTATTGCCCTGGGACTCAACTCAATTGCTCAAAATTATAGGTTGGCATTTGTCGCGCGTAAAACAATTTTATGCGCCAACACTTTTTTGGGCACTTTCGTCGTCGGCAGCCACTTGAATAAAGACGTACAAATTCCGAGGGGCAGGCAAACTGAAGGTTTTAAGATAAACTTATCCGTTTTTTTGGAACGTAAAACGGATCAAGACACGCAGTTATCCTTCATGATGAACTGCCGTGAAGACCTTAAAACAACACAACCATTCTGTTGGTGGAAAGCATGAGGCTGAAGAAAAAGTGTTGCTTGGTCTCGTGTGTAAATTTCTGGTTTTGACGGTCGTTCAATGACAGCAAAAGCAGATAGTCTAAAGACGTTACGCTGAATTATTTTATTGTATTTGCGTTTCCAGCCTTGGATTGCAGCTGTCTTAACTTGCACATGCCATCTTGGATGTCTTGAGGCTTGTATGCAGTTATTAACATGAAAAACGAATTTCGGCAAGAGTAGTGACGATAATCAAATGTTCGCTCTGTAAATACAAGTATGAAGTTGTAACTAATACTAGTAAGCCAAACATTGATGGTCCTGAAGTTAATGATGGAGCCATTGCGGAGAGCATTTGAAAGCGTATTTTCAGACTACGTGTTGGTGTCATCGTCCACACGCCCGGTGATTTGCCCATCCCTCCGCGTCCCACCCCGCTCCTTACCGAGCCGAGTGAGGCGGAACGGGAGACATTTGCTAGGTGACGATTGGAATACTCGGCCAGGCCCGCGATGCAGCTACTCGACTCGCTCACTATGATCGTCTCCAGCTGACCGAGGCCGTCCACTTCGGCTAAGTCACTTATGCAAAAGATCGTTTTGACGCTATCATTTCTCGTTTTATCACTCCTTCCTCTACCTTCCTGGCCCGCCTCCTCATGCTGTTCGTTTTCCCAGACCTTGCTGCGTTTCACACTACCACCATTTGGGTTGTCAGCAGAATCACGACGGCAAATAAAGCTCCGAATTCATCGGAGCCCCCGCAGCCGCTTCTCTCTGCGATCAGCCGTTCGCTTTCGGGGATGGTCGAGCCATGCACAGCCACGGAAACCAGAGTGTCAGCGGGCCAAACAGGTGCATTTCCGCTGGACCCAGTGGCGCCTCACTCACCGCAGCCGCAAAGCCCTCCTCTTGCCCCGTTGGACCCGCAAGAAGTTGGGGAATCGCGGTGGAGCTTCGTCGTCGTCAACGTATTTCTGTAGTGAGTGTTGTGCTAAGGAGCGTTGGTCTCGCAGTGCTAGTAGAGATCGTTTGTATAGCAAGTCGCCCTGTGCCGCCACCGTTAATGGTTATACGCCACGGCGTGATTGCGGCACAACTAGGCAGCCAAAGTCAACTTTGAGTCGCCTCAAGGACAGTAGCATTGGAAGTAATCCTGCAACTAGGCAGTCGAAAACGGTTGTGTTATGCTCGCTGCCCCTCCCTGCCTCTTCTTGTCCCTTTATGCCGTTTCCCGTTCCTCCCTGTCGTTCGATACCCCCCTCCAACTACCATCCCCCATCCTCCATCCTCCATCCTCCATCCCCTGTCCTCTATCCCCCATCCCCCATCCTCCATCCCCCATCCCATATCTGCCTTCCCCCATCCGCCTTCCCCCATCCCCCATCCGCCTTCCTCCATCCCCCATTCGCCTTCCCTCATCCCCCATCCCCCATCCGCCTTCCCCCACCCCCCTTCCCAATCCCCCCCATTCTCTTGCAGTGACAGTCGGGTGCAGTGCAACAAGGTGCAGGTGGGGCAGTGGAGGCAAGGCGAAGATCACCCTTTCCACACCCCCCATACCTCCAACTCCCCTCTCCCTCTCCCATGACCCTCCTTAATTTTTCCTCCCTGCTCCCCCATTCCCGTTTTCCACTCTTTTCTCCTCTCCCAGTGACGGTCATCATGCCAGGCGCCGGCCCTCATGCAACCCTCATGCAACGAGCTACAATGCAAGCCTTATTCCCCCTCCCTGCTCCCTGCTCTACCAGCGACGACCGTGCCAGGCGCCGGCCTTCATGCAACGAGCTGCAGTGCAGCAAGGTGCAGGTGGTGCCGTGGAGGGGAGGCGAGGGGCGCATGGCAATGGAAAAGGGCGAAAGGGATAGGAGGGCCCAAGGGGGTGATGGAGGGGAGGGGAGTTTGGGAAGCACGATTGCTGCAGCGGTGGCTGTGCGTGAGCTTCATGGGAATGCACACTCACTTTTTGCTGCTCTCCCCTTGTCCTCTTCCCTTAAATTTGATTCACTCAGTCTACTCTGCTCGGTACTCTTTTTGAAGCAGCAACCCTTTCCATCCTTTGCATTGCCCCTGCGTGATAATAAGTTGGTTTTGAGACGTCTCAAAACGAACTTGTTCTCACGTGCCTTTCAGTTGCCCCCATTACTTCTGGACAGACTGCACGTGGTGAAGGCTAAAAGGGGTGGGGAGTTTGCACATGGATGTTGATTGCTTTTTGTTTTTTTTTTTAACGTCTCAAATTAAAGCCCTATTCGTGTTCATGATTCCTATTGAAGCACAAATGTTGAAATGTTTGTATTCGTGTGTTTCTATGATGCAGCAGCAGGGCGGTGGTGGCAGCGGTGATGGTGGCGGCGGTGGCGGTGGTGGTGCTGGTGGTTCTGGTGGGGCTCATGGAGGGAAGAAGAAGAGGCGGGGGCGAAGGAGGGGAGAGGGACAGGCAACGGCAGAGTGCGCTACAGATGCAGGGGCAGAGGGTGGTGCAGCAGAGGGCGTGGCAGGGGTAGAGGGTGGTGCAGAGGGAAAGTCTTGGGTTGCTGCCGTTGCAGAAGTAGAGGAAATAGGGGAGGAGAAGATTGGGGGGGAGCAGATAGCGAGAGAGCAGGCGATAGAAGCGCAGACAGAGGGGGTGTCATTTGTGGTGGCGGAGGAGGGAGCATGGTAGGCGGTGTGGGAGCCGCTCTCCCATGGCGTATACTTCCGCAATGCTGCCGCCACCTGTTTGAAGAGAGAGAATTGATACATTACACAATGAGCCAAGAGGCCCCTTAGTACAAACAATGAGCAAGGGAGAGATGAGAGGGAAGCTTACCCTATTGGCCAATAAGTTGGCCAATGGGTGAGCTTGCTTGTGGCCCAAGCAACCACAAATGTGTGTTGGTTGGGATTGGTTGAGCTAAGGACCAATCCCAACCAACCACAAAATGTGGTTGGAGGGTACACTAAGCAACCCCCCAATTTATAAATGTGCTACACTTCTAGCCTATGTATGTTGTATAAAATATGAAATTACAACACAACCCCCCAACATGCATAAGGCTAGAAGGCCAGAATCAAGAGGCGGGCGGCGACTTTGGAGGAGTGAGGCTAAGGAGACGAAGGAGTGAAGAGTGAGTCGCATGAGGAAGAGCTTTTGTGAAAATGTCAGCAAGGTTGGCCGCCGAGTCAATTTTGTCAAGCCGAAGGTGCCCCGCATGAACAAGATCGCGAATGAAGAAATGACGGAGCTCAATGTGCTTGGAGCGCCCGTGAAACACAGCATCTTTAGTGAGGTGAATGGTACTGGCATTGTCACACCAGATGGTGGGACAGAGCGGGGGGGCACCAAGTTCCTCAAGAAGGAAGGTGAGCCAGCGGGCCTCTTGCGCAGCCATGGTGGCGGCATACAACTCCACCTCGCATGAGGAGAGGGTGATGGCCGAGGAGCGAGTGGAGCGCCAGCTGATAAGGCCGCTGCCAAGAGAGAATCCATAGCCCTGGGAGGAGCGACGATCCGGCCGGAAATCAGCCCAGGAGGAGTCACTATAGCCGCTGAGGAGAGGTGGGGAGGGGCCGCCAAGGGTAAGGACATAGTCCTTGGTGCCACGAAGGTACCAGAGGACACGCTTGGCGGCCTCCCAGTGCTCTTCCGTATGCTTGCCTGCGCCAACAAAACGGGCAAGGATGCTGATGGGGTAGGCAAGGTCAGGGCGAGTGGAGACCATGGCGTACATGAGGGAGCCGATGAGCTCTAGATAAGGATGAGAGGAGGTTGAGGGGGAGGTGGGTGGAGAGAGATGGTGCCCGACAGAAAGAGGAGTATGTTGTGTCAGAATCTCAACCACTAGACCATTGGGATAAAAGGGCTTGTTTCAGTAGCGGGTCAGTGCGCCCATAACCCCCCAGGCGAACGCGCCTGTAACCCTCTCCAGGATCAATCGGGCATCCACAGTGCAGATCTACTGACACCCCCCCACACTGGGAGGCCCATGGACTAAGCACATCGGCAACGGCCTACATGTGCATACACCGGGAATCGAAGCCCGAGACCAGCTCTGATACCATGTCAGAATCCCAACCACTAGACCATTGGGATAAAAGGGCTTGTTTCAGTAGCGGGTCAGTGCGCCCATAACCCCCCAGGCGAACGCGCCTGTAACCCTCTCCAGGATCAATCGGGCATCCACAGTGCAGATCTACTGACATGTTGGGCACTGCCCCGGGCCATGTCAAACCGCTCCGAGACCTGCTGCAAGTAATGACCCTAGGAGAGAGAGATGGTGCGGGCGGAGCGGTCGCGGGTGATGGTCATGCCCAGGTAATGCTGCAGCTCTCCCAAGTCCTTGCACTTGAGTCAGCTACCCAACTCAGCCTTAACACGCTCCAACTCAGCAAGGTCGGCGGTGAGCAGAATCATGTCATCGACATACACAAGGATGTAGAAGGGGGAGGGGGAGGTGCGGAGGAAGAGGCTGGCGTCGGAGCGGGAGGTGCGAAACCCAAGTTCAGCAAGGGTGGCGGCAAGCTTAGCATGCCACTCCCTAGGGGCCTGTCGGAGCCCATACACAGGTCGACGCAACTGCCAGACAGAGTCTGCTGGGAAGGGAAGGTGAAAGTCGGCTGGACGCTCCATGTAGATAAGCTCGCGGAGGACGCCTTGCAGAAAGGCGTTAGAAACGTCCATTGAGTGGATCTCCAAATTGAGGCGAGCGGCGAGGTCGAGCACGGCGCGAACGGTAGCAGGTTTGGCGGTAGGTGAGAAGGTATCGAAAAAGTCCACAGCATACCGCTGTGTGAGCCCTTGGCACAGTAACGAGCCTTGTAGACGGGCGGCTCTCCTGGCAGCTGCTTGACGCGAAACACCCACTTCCCCTTCACCACGTTCGTAGAGGCAGGAGGGCGAGGCACATCAATGACGGAGGAGTTGGCAATAAAGGCCTCCAACTCCTTGATGGCGGCAAGCCAGAGAGGGGCGTCGGGGCAAGCCATTGCCTCCTCATACGTGGTAGGGATGAAAGTGGAGGGAGCAGAGGAGAAGGCGAAGACGGGTGTGCCGGAGAGGTCGGATGTGATGGGTAGAAGCGAGGGGTTACAGAGGTGGAGGTCAAGGAACTTCTCATGGGAGTCTTCAGAGAGGGAGGTGTGGAAGGCGGGGATGGCTGTTGATGCTGCTGCTGGTGCCGCTGCTGGTGCTACTGTTGGTGCCGTTGCTGGTGCCGCTGCTGGTGCCGCTGCTGGTGCCGATGCTGATCCTGCTGCTGGTGCCGCTGCTGGTCCTGCTGCTGGTGCCGCTGCTGGTCCTGCTGCTGGTGCCGCTGCTGGTCGTGCTGCTGGTGCCGCTACTGGTCCTGCTGCTGGTGCCGCTGCTGGTCCTGTTGCTGGTGCCGTTGCTGGTGTTGCTGCTGGTGCCGCTGCTAGTGCCGTTGCGGACGCTGCTGCTAGCGCCGCTGCTGGTGAGGGAGAGGTGGTAGAGGGGGCTGCTGCAGGAGGAGGTTGATGCAAGACAGCCTGGAAGAAGTGGTGAAGGAGAGGGGAGAGAGGGGGAAGGGTAGAGGTAGAGAGGGTAACAGGGGGCGGTGCGCCAAGGATACCGTCACATGACCTAGTGTGGGGGTACCGGGTAAGTACGATGCGCGGAGGAGGGGAAGGACGGGTCGGTGGCGAGGAAGGGGAGGGGAGGGGGGAAGGGGCACTGGGAGAGGAATGTGTGGGGGAGATAGGAGAGGACAGAGGTTCCGGGTCAAAGATATCACCAGACGAGGGAGGGGCACCGTGGGACTGGGATGACGGAGGGGGCGGAGGCGGGAGGATGGGGGGAGGAGGGAGTAATGGGGGAGGGGTGGTGTCAGACCAGACAAGGGGACGGGTGAGAGGGGGGAGTGGGTCAGTGGATGGGGGAGAGGTGTAGTAGGGAGTGGACTCATCAAAAACCACATCCCTACTGCGGACTAGACGACCTGAGGGGGGGATGGAGGAAAAGGTAGTCAGGTGAGGTGGGGCTATGACCAAGGAAGATGTAAGGGAAGGGTACGAGGGGCGAGCTTTCCCATGGAACGGGAGCGGTCAGAGGGGTGAATAAGGACATATGCCTTTGAGCCCCAGACACGAAGAGATGAGACATCAGGCTTGTCCTTTGTCAACAGCTCAGTGGGAGTGGTGGAGGGGAGAAGGGGGTGAGGGAAAAGGTTAGTAAGGAGGGCGGCATGAAGGAGGGCGTAGCCCCACAGAGAAGGGGGGCAGGAGGCGTGGACAAGAAGACACCGGGCTGTTTTGGTGATCTCCCGAACACGACTCTCAGCCACGCCATTCTGCTGTGGGGAGTGAGGGAGGGTGTAAGTTTGAAGAATGCCACGAGACTGACAATAGGAGGAGACTTGATTGTTAATGAACTCACCACCACCATCAGAGTGAAGGCGGCGAACAGGGCGCCCAAAATGGGTGTTTGCCCGCTCGAGCCAGGCGATGATCGCAGCTGGGGCGTCCGCCTTTGTTCGAAGGAGAGAGACGGACGAGTACCGACTGTGATCATCGACGAGCACGAGAAGGTAGCGATGGCCCTGGCGAGTGGGAGAGGGATTAGGGCCCCAAAGGTCCATGTGAACAAGATCAAGTGGCTGGGCAGCAACGGAGGGGGAGCTCCGATGTGGCTGCTGCTTGAGCTTGCTTTGAACGCAGACGGTATAGGGGGGGGCAATAGATTTGGGGAGGGGAGGGAGGGAGGAGGGGAGGCCATGGAGGAGACCGGAGGAGACAGAGGAGCGCAGAGTAGCGAAGTTAGGGTGACCTAGCCTGTGATGGAGGAGGATGGTAGGGTGGGAGAGGGAGCGACAGGAACAGTCAGAGTCAGGGGGGCGGGGGGGAAGGGGTGGGTTAGTGGGAGGGAGGGGAGGGGGGGGGAGGAGAGAGGGAGAAGCAACTTGGCAGGGGGGGGGGGGGGGAACCCGAAGGGTGCATAGACGGGAACGAGGACAGAAGGGAATACGGGAGAGAAGGCGACCTGTAGCAGTATGGTAAAGGGCACAGTGGTTAGTGTTAGTGCTAGCCTTCAATCTCACACTTTGTACATTGTATTTTCTATATCCTAGAGTAGTGTAGTTTGCACATTGTGTTTGGTTGGGTGTACACCTACATCCCAACCAAACCCAAATGTAATCTCCAAGCAATCTCCAACCCACCAATTGGAGATTGCCTTGGGATTACCCCCAATCCCTAGGGATTGCCTCTGATTCCCTTCCCCAACTATTCCTTACCCTTCTTGGATGTACTTAAAGAGCTTCAAAATCATTACTAATGCATCACTTCTAAGCCTAAATTGTGACATGGTATCAGAACCCTACATCCGCACATGCGGATCGTGATCCTCCTATCTATGCGGATGTTCTTCCCGCAAACCTCGGCATAGCCTCCTTCAATCTCGTCGAAGTCGATTCGCGACATTCGTGGGCGGAAATTCCCCCGCACCACTTTCCCGTCAACTTCGACGACGTCTTCAATTTCTATGGTACGCTCATCGACGTCGATCTAACTTATCGTTCCTTTTTTCGTCATCTCTCAATTTCGTCACCGCGTCACCTCTTCTCATCGGGCCGCCGCCCGTTGCCCCGCAACTTCTCGTCGGGCCGCCGCCCGTCGCCCCGCAGCTTCTCGTCAAGACCAAGCTGAGTACAGAAGCGCTGATGATCACAA